ACAGCAAATAAAATTAAATATTAAAGTTAAGGTGTACTTCCTTTAAATTAGGCATTATTATCCTAAAAGAAACTGAAGTGGTGCAGAATAGTATGTTCATAATAAATCTAAAATTGTTAAACTACCAAAATTTAACATAGAAAAAAATTTAATTATTCCATATCCTAGTGTAAGCTTTCCCAAATAAGAAGATAGGTGCATTATGGTTGGTAAATGAATTAGTAGTAAAGAATTTATTTAAGACTTCAAGAAGACTTTCTCATGAAAGAAATTCTATTTTAAAAGATTGTCAATGAATTGCATTCTATTTTACATGCAATTTTGTATGTAAATTATTTTCAATGTATTTACATTGCATTAAAAGGGATTAATATTCAGAAGAGATAAGGAAGCAATAATCAAGGAAATCTTTTTCTTTTGGGGGAAAAGTGCGGGTAATGGCAGGATTTTTAACTTTTCTATCAACAACAACAACATCATCTATGGCCTTAGGCCTAACCATAATGCCAGGTGGGAACGCAGAAGCAAAATGTATCTTGGAGGCCACATACACCATTTAGCTCCCCTTCAGGGCCAGAGGATGCAGCACCAGAAGTACCTTGCCGTTGACTGAGTTGCTGCCTAGATTAACTGGCAGTTAACTCTATCTTGCTGTTAACTGAGAAGCTGTCTGAAAGAATTGAGGGATTATATTTTGCTGTTAACCTGGCTTGGAATAGCAATTTATTGAATTTGGGCTTTCACGGTGTGATATCCTTTGCCCACCCCCAACCTGTTTCCCTAGTAAATAAACCCCACAACTATGGGTAAAAAGAGATTCTGTAAAGCTTGTGTGGTCATTTGCAATGATTTTTAGACTGCATGTGGGAACACGGCTGACATTAAAGAGAGCTGTTTTATACTATGGATGTTGTTGATTGGACAATTCCCCTTTGTAGAGTTAGAAGTCAGACATGGCCTTCCCCATGTTACCTTTTCCTCCTCTTATAGGAGGCACTGGTCCATTTAACCAGAGAGATAAATAATTCAAGTTACCATGATCTGAAATAAGAATGAGGTTGAGGCATCTATGCAAGTTGATCTCCTTCAGACCATCCATCAGCATGCCAACCATGTTGTCAACTCTCTGCAATGCTTTGATGACCTGAGAAAGAGAAGCAATCTCTAGTAATACCTGTTATGTGAAAAGCTATTTCTGTGTAAAACTATGTATTAGAAAGCAAAGAGTTCAGTGGGTGAAAATACTTCAGGGAACTCATTCACAAAGGGCTAAGATCAGAGCTCAGTTAAGATATGAAAGGTACAATTGCTGATTATTAACAATTGGAAAGCTCAAATTCTCAATCGGCTTCATCTTAACCCTTGGGTTAATAATGCTGGCTTATCTAATCAGCTCTCCCTTCTCAAGATCTCAGAATACTACTACTTAAAACGAGACTCAACTTTCATAATATGATAATGATACTATAATAATACTATCTCAAATCAAATGTGTTTGGATAGTAATGAATGTACACATTATATAATTATCAATTTCATTTTCTACGGGTCTTTTTTTGCTTTCTAATATAGTAGACATTCTAGATGTTTAATATGTAAACATACATAAAATATGCACAACATTCCCTATTTTCAAAAACATTAAATTGTTCACAAAATACCTCCAATAATTTTGTGTACGTGGGGTTATTTTTTTAATCATTAGAAATCCTTTACAGATAATCTACTGTTTCCTTACAAACTACAAGCAATCTGCATATAAATATTACCAAATGTGAAAGCAAATGGTTTTGGCAAATGCTTCCTTGCATTTCTCATTTCCTGTCTCCCTTCAAAACTACCTAAATAAAGTAAATTCTTGTGCAGTTTTGCATGTGTTTTATCTAATGAGCCGTCTGTCTAATCTCAGTAGTAGTCAGGGATTACGCTGAAATATGAAACCATCTCTTCTAACACAGTCTTACTCATCCAAATGACATGAATAAGAAATTTTAAGTGTTAACACAAGCTAGGATTTGATATGCTAGTAATATTAGTGTTCAATGCAGTTTTCAAGTTGATGAATATGATTTGAAAAGTAACTAGGTCAAACTGAGTGAAGACGAGTCAGGAAGCAGAAAATGGAAAATGTTTTCTGAGTTAGAAAAGGTAGCACTGATTTTGAAACCTGTCTCATCTAATATCAAGAAGTAATAACAAAAGTCATAAATAAGTAAACCAAGATGACAAGTGATGCCCAAATAATTTGCAGTCAACTCTGAAATGTTTAAGTAGATAAATGTCAAAGGCATACAGCTCAAGAACATCAAAATAAGGCAAAGAAAGCACATGATATAGGCTAGACTCCAAGGATAAAAAACATTCCTGCAGCCCGCTACCGTTAAGATATTCAGGAGAAAACACTTTGCAAAATTATTGTTAGAATTCAGTTGTAGTCAAATTGCCTTGGACATTTAAATTAACTTATTCACACTTTCCCCTACAAGACAGAAAAGAACTGCCTCATAGGATTTTCCAAACTGTTAGAGACCTCTCCAAAGTAATGAAGAACAATGATGTCACTCTGGAGACTAAGGTGTGCCTGATTCAGGCCATGGTCTTTGCAATCACTTGCTATCCGTCAGAGAGCAGGACAATGACTAGGGATGATGGAAAGAGAATTGACGTCTGTGAGCTGTGGTTTTGGAGAAGAGTATTGAATATGCCATGGACGGCTAAAAAAACAAACAGGTTCATCCTAGAGTGGGTTAAAGCAGGATGCTCCTTGGAGACAAAGATCCTGAAGCTTCTTTTGACATATTGCAAGGATGGATCAATCCTTGGATAAGGATGTCATGTTCAGGAGGGTGGAGAGACAGTGAAGGAGTGGAAGACGCTATGAGGTGAATTGACTTAGTGACTGGGGTTAGCAGGGTGGGTGCGCTGAAGACAGTGTGATTGGCACAGGATGGGGCAGAAATTAGGGCTATTGTACACAGGGTCGCTATGAGTTGCAGGCGACTCAACAACACATAATAACAACAAACAATAAAAGTTCTATGCGTGCAGACTGCCATATCTTCCCTGACACAGCAACTGGTGGATCCCAAACCACCAACTGTTGGCTTAGCGGCTAAGCACTTAAATCACTGTGCCACCAGGCCTCCTTTTATTAGTGACTTGTGTGTTGTTATTGTTAGATGCCATTGAGTGTGACTCATAGTGACCCTATAAACAATAGATCTGAACCTGTCCTATCTTGTGCCAAGACAGATTATGATTGTGAGGATGATACAGGATAGAACAGAGTTCAGTGACTTTGTTGTTGTTGTTGTCGTTATGTGGCGTTGAGTCATTTGCGACTCTTAGTGACCCTACGTACAACAGCCCTAAACCCTGCTCTGTCCTGTGCCAATCGCACTGCCTCTGACACACCCATCCCAATTACCCCAGTCACTGAA